TGTCCTTGACATTCAGTATCTCTTGAGTTGTGGGAATTATAGCTGTTTGTGGAGATGGGAGCTTGTCTGTGTAAGGGCTGTCGCCTTAAAGGGCCAGACTCAGAATTAGTTCCAAAACAAAGTTTATTAAGCAAAGAAAAAGGGCGCAGAGACACTTAACTCAGTGTCTCTGGCCAGACTAAAAAGTGAAAACCAGTCCTGATTCAAAAGAGAAAACTGAAGCAATAATCCAGATTATCCAGAGAAAAGAACCAGATTGTAACAAAGCGCTCCAAAAATTCCCCAAAATAGCACAGCAAGTAAACAGTTAACAAACAAAAGGGCCACAGGGAAGAAAGCGTAGTCAAACGAAGTAAGCCGAATTCCTAAAGTAGCGAAGTCCTAAAGTCCACGTAGTCAGCGTTGTAGTCAAACCGGTCCGAAGTCAAGGATAGGAGAAGTCAGCACTCACGGGAATCCAAGCCAAGTCGAAAACACACACGAACCTGTAGATCAATGACCCAAAACCAACACAAAATAGGCAGTGACAAGAACCCAATGCACAAACCAACACCTTGCCTTTTGCGAAGAGTCCCCATTTCAGAGCATACTTTTATCTTACACATCATCATCAGAAGATGAACTGACCTCCGCCCCGTCATTATCCCTTGCAGCTGTTCTTGATTCCACACGTGAACTCCTACTCCCATCCCCCCAACTTCTCCATCTTTTGTCAAGACTTAGGTCCCCCCAAGACTCAGCCGTATTCCCCGATTGCCAGTCCTCATTACCAGAGAACCCCACAAATGTATCACTCGACGTCGGCTCCGCACATACCGCTTGTACCTCTTGTACCTTAGTCCAGTCCAATGTGTCATCTCCATCTTCATCACTCACTATCCCATCACCTTCAGAGAAACCCAAGAATGACTCCTCATCTGTGGGTGCACTGTGGGTCCTCTTCCTTTTTTGCTCCTCGTCTGACTCCTGCTCCTGAGTAATCCTTTTCCTTCCCTTAGACCAATCCATGATGTTTCCTTCCTCCTCCTCGCTTGTTGAGCCATCGTCCACAGAGAAATCCAAGAATGATTCCTCATCTGTGGGAGCATTAAGTATATCCCGGATCCTCTTTTTTTGTTGCTCCTCATCAGACTCCTGCTCCCGAGTAACCCGTTTACCCCTTCTAGTGTCCACACTACTGGTAGCATCGTTACCCGCAGGCTCTACTACAACAAGGGACACCCCAGCAACATTCACACATACATATTTTCACTTTTATTATGTGAATAGATCTAAGAGGTTTCCATATATATATATACACACATCCACACACACATACACAGCTACCTCTTAGAAACAGGACCCAAATGCAAAATGCACATACATATAATTATTACTAATACTCCTATATTTATATCCCATTTTAACTCTTCTGAAGGAGACTCAAAGAGACGTATCCTGAAAGCCATTTTTACTTACATTGTGTATGCAGAATGTGGTATGTGTCCATCAAAAAACAAAGGAGTCACACTTTCTCAGCCACCCATTTGGGATAATTTGGGAGCGTTTTGGGATCTTCCAATAAGGGAAAATAAGGCCAAGATATAGATAAGTTCCATTGATTCCTTGGGGATCAATCTTCTTCTGTTGGTCAACATGCCTTTGGAAGATAAGCGAGCATTGTTTGTAATCTCTGGGGAGGGGTGAACATTCTTTGCCTACCTGTCTGTGACTTTTGGTGCCTCTTGTACAACTCCCAAGACCCCTTTCTTTGTGCCAATTGTGCTTTTGAGTATATTTCCTGCAAAATGGTCATAAAGGACTAATGGGTTGCTTTGGCAATGAAATGAGACGGGACACCTGACATGTACACTGTAATTGTTCTAAATATAATCTATGTTCCGTCCCCGTTTTAAAATGTTCCAATTCCGTCAGTTTGAGATCATTATAGAAATAATATGTACCGTCTGATGGGTTCAGAACCTGAATTACGGTTTGTTCTGAGAGGCCTTGAATGGTTTGTGTCTCAGAAAATAAAATGTAAGGTGTCTTTTTAAAGAGAAAAATAGTATGTCCTGATCTAATAAAGTGGACTTGATTAAATGCATTTGATTTATTCTCTACCCAGGTGTCAGCTTCTGCTGGTAGTTTCTAGCAATTAACCAGTACTCACACTCCAGGTGGATGCAGCTAGCTTCATTGCTACTACACACCCAAGAAAGAAAATAACACTACTAATTTCCCCTTGTATCTTCAATCCCTTTTATACTGCTCTTCCCTCCTCCCCTTCCAGACCCTTCCCCATCTCCTGTGAACAATTTCTCCTGATTATCACTTCTTCACAGGACTTCTGTCCTCCTCCAGGTTTGTTTGTTAATGCCGACCTTGCTTCAGGTATGTTGGCAGGCGCAGGAGTCAAATGCTTGTTCTTCCAAGCTTTGATTCATGTCCTGACATGATGCCCCCCTAAAAAGGAAAAGAAGCCCCATAACCACAGGAGAGAGAACAGAAAACTGTAGTT